AAGGAACTTATCGTAGCAACGCATTCAAGTTGAAACATTAGTAGCCGTGCTGGCATATTTCATTTGCGGGTGTGGGGAACACCCATACATGTGAGGCATGTCTGCTCATGATATCTGCGTCGAGCTACAGCGTTGTACTTGTAACCTGCCTACTTCAGCGAATCGATGCAAAACGATTATATAAATAAATTGATCGATTGATTGTAACGTGTATATTAAAATAAAAGTGATTCCTCACCTTGGCTGTAAGCCATGGCGCAAATCCCTCTTGTTCTCAATAAACCTAATCATTGTTTTTTGTTTTTGAGTAACTGAGCAATGACTGACGCAGAATTCTGTATGGATCATTCCGGTTCTTAAAACTAGTTTGACCGCTTTTTTTTTTTTTTTTTCATAACAGTTTTAGTTAAAAAAAAAGTTGTGTGAATCAATCTGTAAATAAAAACCACGGACGTCCGTCCACCGATTTAGCTAGCATGCACGTCTTTTTCTATTTTGAAACAGCGTAATAACTTGGACGCTTCTTCTTCAGATAAAGTCTCTGTGCACCCACGAGAGAAAAGTTCGATGACTCGAAGTCGCACAGCGAAATTTAACGTCTACGGTAGAGTCACTCTTGCTTTGCCTCAGGTCTGAACGGACTGGAGATACGCAGCAAACCTGCAACGGCAACAAAAATAAACAATTTCTTTAGACTCACGTCGGAGATATCGGGAATGGGAGACTTGACGGACGTGAAAAGAGAGATGGAAGAGCGTGAAAGCTGAAGTCTAAAGATTACGTGGCGTGGATTAGGAGTCATGCAACCTACGGGATCAGAAACGACTGACAGCTCTTCTACTGTGGTGTAGTTAGGCTCTTCGGACACCTCGCCTGCATTATTGATGGGTTACCTTATCAATCGAGCCGGTTTCAAACCAAACAGTCCCGAGCTTAGAGAGAAGCTGGCAGCAGGTCTAATCTTACACTCGAGCATGCAAGTCGATGAACCGTCCAATCAATTATGCGATTAGACGAAATTGATGTCAGTGACACGCAGCCTTGTACACGTTGATCGGAAAAAAGATATCGATTATATTTACGATTACTCTTGGTTAAAAGTATTCAATTAGATTACTTGATTACTTGAGAACAAAAGTAATTGGTTCCTACTTGAAAAAAGTACCGGTTACTTTTGCGACTACTTAACATATTTAGAACGACAATTTCTTCTGTCATTTGGAAAACGGGTTTTTCGTACTGTCCATTATTGTATTAGGATAACCGAATTATAAACTTCTTATTCCACCAGTTTTGGAAAACCGTCCTCCTGCCCGAGACCAGGTTCGAGAATTTCTTGGAAGGAACCGTGCAAGCAAAGGGAGCCATAAAAAGGGGGAGAGAAAAATAGTGACGGTTTCAAGTAATTTGAGTACTTCCAAACGTCGTCGGATTACTCTTGTAGGCTACGTCCTAATAAATGTATTCAAGTTATTGCAAAATTACTCAAAAAGGTATCGATTACAACTTAAGTGATTTGATTACTTGTAATCAGTATACCGTACAAGTCTGACGACACGACGCTGTCATTGACATCGACTCCTTGGAAAGGTAAAAAAAAAAGAAAGTGAGTGACTGTATTTATAACAATTAGTGTTTTTTTTTTAAGCGTTGTCTTTTTAAGTTGACGTGGCTCTGAAAGACAAAAGAAAAGCAGGGCAACTTATTAAAAAAAAAAAAAAAGTTACCTAAAATTATCTGACTGTCATATGTCGAAGTGGTCCGCCAAGTCCTAACCAGATATATCTTTTTATCTCAACATTTACTTTTACTTGACATATCGTGCGCATTACCCGCAGGTACCTCTGTCACCCCACCCCTCGTCTAGGAATATGGTTCGTTGGCGGGGAAGCCAAAGCTCACGCTGCAGAACCCGGGGATCCTGGGCCCAATCCCCGCCCCTGTCTGTTTCGTTCTGAATGAGCAGCGTACCGGTGCGTGTGCGGTCGTATCACTACTGCGTGGAGCACGTTAAAGATCCCGGCTAGCCGTCGTACCTCAATGGCCAAATTTCGTATCTTCAACGGAAACACCAGACGCCCATGAGGAGCTATCTCACTTCCCAGGCTGTCTAAGCATGCACAGGCCGTAATTACAGCTACATACATCGTCCCCGAATGCGCGGGACCCCTCAGTCGCAAGCATTATATATAGAGTGCCCAACACCAACTCAGCGTTGTGGGCCAGCAAGCATCTTCGTCACCCCATCAAAGAAGTGCGCCCCCAACGCCCGCTTCTCCCGAGGTAACCCAGAAGCTATATCTTTAAATTTGTCCGTCTACGCATATTCCTCTTCCTCGCATGCACGGGGCCCCCCTTTCACCATCATAAGCGTTATGTGGAGCACCAAACGCCAAGTCCGTGTGGGCCTGCAAGCATCTTCGTTAGCCCATCGAAGAAGGGCATCGCCAACGCCCGCTTCTCGCGACGGCAGCCCTCGGCAACAGGCCGCCACAGCTGCACGCAGTGGGGCTCCCGACCTCCAGCGATGGCGAAGGAGCAACGCCTTCAGTTCCGTAGCCTGTAGGTCTCCTGGCGATCGCGACTCGGCCTCAATGTCGCCTCCAAGGCTGCTTGGCTCAACGCCTGTCTCGGTGTTTGCTGTAAGGTCCTCCAGCGGGACGGCGCGCTCCTCCGATTCCCGAGACCCGTTCTTTGTGCGGATTGAAGAAGAAAGAGGAATAGAAGATCGGCCCTCTTGGTTCTGTTTGAGATGTTTGGGATAGAGTCTCTGGGGAAGTACAGAAAGAGCGGCAAGGCGAGGGCAGACTCGAGCTGCCTTTGCCTCGTCCTGGTGGCGCTCTTCAGCTATTTCGGCTCCGAAGACCCCTCGAGACAAGGACATTGTTCAGACACTTCATCTCCTGCTGTTGTTCTTTTTTACGCTGTGTTTGTCGCACGACTGAATGATATCCGTGTAAAATATTCGTATGAGGGGCAGGGGGCTTGGGGGGGGGGGGGGGGGGGGTGGATATGATTACTATATGAACGAAGTGGAAACAAAATGTGTCGCAGGGTACACAACATAATCTTTCTGAGATAATTTCCGAATAAAAATTACCTGTTGTGGATACATGGTCGATTGCGAAGAGTATAAATTATATTAAGATCATCGCTTTCTCATATTTGATTGTTGTTGTCGCAAACAAAGGCTGAGGAAGATGCTGGAAGTTCACCAGCCCCCCTCGTTGTTCTTTGTTATTTCTATGATGATATCCCTGTTTGAACTTGTTCCTTTACCGATCAAAAACACCCTCGTCCCGGAAACAAGAAATCAACTCGGGTTGCTACAAACAACTCACACACGGTCTCTATTTCTATTTCTCCTACTCTCTCCCTGTCTCTCTCTCTCTTTACATTGAGACATGGCTACACGGACATATAGCCATATTGCCCTTGACGAGTTTTTGTGCAACGTGTTTACAAAGAACGATCACGTAAGCCGCTTGATAGATGCTACACTCCGCACCTTGGCCGGGCACCAAATGCGCGCCGTATATGTGCGTTCGCCATCGTCGACATTGCTGATGGCTGTTTCCCAAAAGCGACAACGAAAAAAGAAAATTCACTCGCAGCCGCGCTCGGTGTGCAAATGATTACGACGCCCCCTGCGACACAACAGCTCAATAGTGAATGATGTGACGCAGAGCGCTACGACGCTGGGCAAATACGAAGCGGAATTTTCTGAGCGCCGAGCCATTACGTTGTCCGAGCTATAGAGTCACTATAAGTATAGCTATACGGCTTAGAGTAGTCGCATTTCAGTGGTGACGTAGCAATTAAAAGGCGTGAACAAAACAGGACGAAAAAAGACACCCGTACGACACGGACAGCCCGGGGGGGGGGGGGGGGGGGGGGGGGGGGGGGGGGGGGCGCCCGGTCTCCGGGTAGCAAGGCGTCCCAGTCGCGCGTGTGTGTTGGGGGGGGGGGGGGGGGGTGCCACCTCTGGCAGCACCCGGCACTCCCCTCCCGCCCTCCCCCTCTCTTCAAGCTTTACTGATCGGTTGCGATCTCGGGGAGTGAAGGGGGGTACGAAAAACATACGGGCCCCGGGGGACGCCGGAGGTGCGCAAACTCGTTCCGGCAAATTATCTTAAGCTTTTTCTGAAATCGCAGAAAACGCTTTCCCGTCCTTGAGAAACGTTAAAACAGTTCGCAGCAGAGCGAAACAATATCACGTAAGCTTCCTGACGCCGTCTATAAAGTTCAGGAAGTCGAATGGAATCACCAAAATGGCTGCTCCCACAAGAAAATTGAAATGGGGTGCCAACACTTTAAGCGTAATTTACTTAGGGGCTCCAGTTGCGTTGTCCGAGCCAGTCATGTGGCGAATCAGGTCCTCTTCATGACGTCACAGCGGTCAGTTTTCGTGTCTCGTATTCTATAGGTGACCGTGACACATGGTCGCGTAAAGCTCACCACGAATATCGTGCTCGAAATTAGTTGGTTGAAGGAAGGAAATAAAAAAGTCAGGGGTGTTTTTTTTTTTTTTTTTTCTACGTGTGACCTTATTACATTCCGAAGTCAGATATATTTTACTCTCGCGCGTAAAGCGCGGGCGAATAAATCACGCGTCTAAACTGACATAACTTTTGCTGGAAATTTTATGACTTCGTACGACCGGCCGTGTTTGTCGTACAAACTGGCGATCGGCCAAAGTAACCCTCGAAGCGTGCCCGAAACATATATATTAGGAAACCTGCTCCAAACATTTATTTTGCACCATCCAGAAATGTTAATTTCACGTTCATTTCTAGCGGAACTGCCTCCGTTGTTTCTTCCTTTCTTTCTTCAGGAACGCGCTACTTTACGAAGGAGTCCACAACCACAAGTTACCGAGGAGGAGAGTCAACGAAGTCGGAACGGCTACAGCAAGAGACCCCGCTGCCAGCGGTGAGTAAACCGCGAACTAACGGCGCTGCGGTCGCTTTCCCCGCGCTCTTCATGGCGGCCGTATATTCAATCGCTCGCGAGCCTCCATCCAGTCCAGTGCTATTCCCTCCTCCGTGCGCTGCGCCGCTTTGGATGGTCCCCTGACGGACATACGACAACTCGCGAGTCGGGACGTTCGGTGCGCGTGCTGCTCTTCTCCTTCTCTTCGCATCACTTCGCCGTTCTCCAACGGAACATAGACCACCGAACATTCGTATCACTTTCTCATTCCTCGTGAAGTTCCAGTCGCTAGCACGCCTTCTAGATCTGTGTGTGTTGTTGGCTTCCGCAGTTTGCTTACTGATTCGTACGGTGGTGAATCTGCCCGTTTCTCGTCAGTGTTTCGCCCCTCGACACGTCGGCGAACACGACAACCTGACAGGAGTTTGGAACGTTGACACTGGATCCCTCGTATTCAGGGTAAGTGTTGTCATATGTCGCCCTCTTCTCTATGCACGCTATTTTGTTCTCAATAAATAAACCAGGTTGTGTACAAAGGAGTGTCTCGTAGGGGCGAACGTAGGATGTATCTACTGCCAGTGACGAGTCCGAAACTCTCGAAGAATCGCCTCCGTAATAGTTAGATTTTTGTTTGTTTTTGTTTTTAACCTCTCGCCCGTACGCAGCGATGCGATCACAGTGGAAATTTCTTAGACCGGTTTGGTTGCACATGGATTGTGGTCTGGTCGAGAAGCCTCGGAGTATGTTGCTGGGCTCAGCTGTTTCTGTAACCTTCGCAGACTACACCGTGAGCCCGTCGTGTTAACATACGCGGAGCTCGCGGTAACGCGTTAGGCAAATATGCTTTTTGGCCTTAGTTCTTTTCCATTCATTGCCTCGTTCTGAACAATATACGCAATTGTAGGTGCACAGGAATACGGATAACGAAACACATCTGCGGAGACTTCAGTACGCTTCTTTGAAAACTCACCTAAGATCTTTTTTCGTATGGAAATCTTGTGTACTTTCAAAGTCAGAATGTCTGTTTAAAACGTTTCCAAATCGTCGCAAATTATTTGTTGTTGCTGGTGGTGGTAAAGGTATGGTATACGGCAGCCATTCATATATCCGCGTGAGGTACGTGTTCCCAGGTAATTAGGTGCCGGCATACAACCTTACTTTCATCGCACAACAGCTCAAAAATATGTCGAGTACACGCAAATTCTAAGACCGCAAGGAAGTTATGTTAGTTTAAGTCGAAGCGAAGTATCATTTCTTGAGTTTGAAGTAACCGGTCCCATAATATGAGAAAAACATTCTTCACTTTACAAACTAAACATTGAATTTAACTAAAACACAGGAGAAAAAATGGATGTATGAGACATACCCCGTGCCACATTGCTTATTTCCAGCAAAATGGACAATTGGGCGAGTTGGTAAGAGTTCATCATAACTTACAGCGCGACTGGGACGAGGAAAGACAGAGGAAAAAAACACAGGACAAGCTCTGAACTAGCAGTTGCTAGTTCAGGTATGATAAGCTTATTTCATACTGATCCGTGCGATTTTCGAACAACGCAACACGTTTTAGTGGCAGATTATGGTTCATTACGGAGTTGCAGGGTCCCGCATAGAACCTGCCCCTTTAAGATTTTTATAATCTTTCTATTTTCGTAAATTGGTTTCTTTCTTGTTTTTCTTTTTTTGTTTAACTTTTTTGGGTCTTGCGTACGAGCTTTCCGGTTTGGCGCCGAGGTGCCGGCGAAAACCAAACCGAAACCATCGACGCAGGAGCGTCGGGCGCGGGGCTAACGGCTTGCGCTAAATCGTCGAAGCCCTTCGCGCGCGTTCGTGCAAGCGCGCCTCGCAGCCGGGCGGCCGAATGAACGCTCCAATTTTGCGCGGCAACAGGAAAAAGTGCTCTAGGGGCGACGCCGGATCGGAACTAGTTTCCGTTAGCCGTTCGGATTGGAATCGCGGAGAACCGTTGTGTGCTCCACTTGTCGTCACTGGGGCTGCCCTCGGGTCGTTTCTTTGCCAGTACAATCCAGATTTTCGAGTCGTATCGCACGATGTTGACGGGGAACGTGACGGTCGCGGCAAGGTTACAAATTTCAGTTCTGAAGTTTGGGCCCCGAGATGAATGGGTTCTTACCACACCAAAGTCACTGGCAGGATGAGAACAACAGGCAACGAGCGCGTGCTGGAGGCCGAACACCCAAAAGAGACCCCCCCCCCCCCCCCCCCCGTTGCACTCACCCTGTCACTGACTAGAAAAGTTTTGATGAGAGCCTTTCCACTGTGACGTAAGGACACTAAAAACCGGCGATTGTTTGTTCTTGTCGTGTCGCGCTCTGTCCCATAATTCGAGGTGCCCCGACCAAACATCGTGCCGACTCTGTCAAAAAAAATGTAAGCCACACTGGCAGTGATTTTGTCAGGTCCTTCCCGGTGAACGGGAAAGAAAGAAATGAAATGGTACACCCTATCATCGTAGAACGCGTTCTCTGTCGCCCCACGATGAATTTGGCACACCAACTCTGGTGGGACGGTAACAGTCGTGGCCTGCATATTTCATACAGTATTCTGGGGCTTCATTAGTTGGGGACATATAACAATCAATATACACGCCGTCGCGCGCTCAGTACGCGAAAAAAAAATCAACAATCGAGTTTGCTTTATTGGTCGCCTACACTTTATAGCTCCTGTTTGCAAACAGTGCGAGTTATCGCAGGAGTGTCAATGG